TGGGTGCAGCACAGCAACATGGCACAAGTATACATATGTAACAAACCTGCACGTTATGCACATGTACCCTAGAACTTAAAGCATAATAATAATTTAAAAAAAAACAAAAAAAAACCAAAGAGTTAATATCATATTACTTGATTCTTTGGTAAGTTTCCTACCCTATGAATTCCTTCTCTTATTTATTTTTTTATGGGAACCAAGTTACCTAAAGTCTTATTTTAATAAACTTAATGTTATAGGCAACTTTGTTGGGATCTATACATCTCATAAAATAAGCAATAAATATATTTATTAGGCTAAGATAAATTAGAATAGGAAACATCTGGCAATATTCTGTTTGAGTTCTCACTTTTTCAGGTCAGTACAGCAGTGTGGAACAAATATGTGTATATATTTAAAGAAAGAAATTAGTATTGGAAGACTGGAAAAAAGAATATCAAATGGTTAATAGAATTTCAATTATAAAAACAAAGGCAGACTGTTTTGTCTATCCTGTACATGGCTTCCAAAATAAAATAGGTTCAGGCTCTCCAAAAGGATAGGTTCAGGCTCTCTAGAAGAAGTACAATGGACTCTTGCTTTATTTCAAGCACTTGCCTCAGGCATATTTTTTGGTTCTAAGTGGAATAATCCAAACTGAGCATTTGTCTTAGAAATTTCATTGATGGAGAGGCATTTCTTTGTCTCAAGATTTTGTAGTTGGCCGGGCATGGTGTAATCCCAGCACTCTGGGAGGCTGAAGTGGGCAGATCACCTGAGTGAGATCAGGAGTTTGAGACCAGCCTGGCAAACATGGTGAAACCCTGTCTCTACTAAAAATACAAAAATTAGCTGGGTGTGGTGGCATGTGCCTGTAATCTCAGCTACCCAGGAGGCTGAGGCAGGAGACTCGCTGGAACCCAGGAGGCAGAGGTTGCAGCAAGCCGAGATCGCGCCACTGCACTCTAGCCTGGGTGACAGAGCAAGACTCGGTCTTTCTCTCTCTCTCTCTCTCTCTCTCTATATATATATATATTTTTTTTTTCATTCATATAATATATATATTCATTCATATATAGTTTTTATATATATATATTCATTCAATAAACTTTTTTTTCATTCAATAGACTTGTACTGAGGGAATGACTACTATGTTCTAGGCACTCATGATACAAAAGTAGAAAAGGGGACAAGACAAATTACTTGCTCTTTGAACTTATAGTCTGGTTAAGAAGAACTGATAATGAACAAGTAAATCTCTTTTTTCACCTTTTCTCTTTGCACTTTAAATAATTATATACTTGTGTTGTCTCCTTTTAGAGACTAAAATTCATGAGGTATGGGACCCTGTTTTGTTCACCACTATATTTCCAGTTCTTGGTGCAGACTAAGCACTAAATAAATATTTGTTAAATGAAAGAACTCAGAGCAATAGAAAAGCAAATGGTGGTTTGTTATATTTTGAGTTCCTGAGTTTTACTACTTTCTTCATTGTACTCTGTTTTTAACAATAGCTCAACAGTCAAGCAGTCAGGAAAGACTAATTTTTGCCTAAAGATCTTGTGTCTTGGAAAGGGAACCGAGATCTTCCTCCATTGTTCTAAAATCACATCTACCAATACTACGTTCTGAAGGGCAGCACCATGAGCACAGGCAAAGTAAAATGAGCTAAAGCATTTGTTTGAAAGCTTTCCATTTTATGAGATGAATTCTTTCATCATTTTGAAATCTAGGGGCAGCTGTTAGTAGCTTCCTAGTCTTCGTTGAGAAAGTTGGTTAATAATATATTTTACTTAAATATATTA